ACTTTTCTTATTGTTTATTTCCAGTCTGGTAACACGAGGAGTGGTAAACTATAAAAACTTTTTGTAGAAGTAGATACACGAAGGGATTATACGTAATGGTTTATTTTTGTTAGCAGCACCAGACCAGAGTTGTAGGGAGGGGGGGGGGGGGTTTGCATATGTCCCCGGGCGACGACCTTAGGGGGCGCCAAAATGCGTTGGAAAAACAAATTAAAATCTCATTTTATCAACAGTTTTGCATTACAAATATAAATTAAAAGTATGAGCGGGGGGGGGGGGGGTGCAAATTGAAAATTAAAAGGTTGTTCCCGGGCGCCGAAAAGGGTGCGACGCACCAAACTAGCGGTTGTGGCGTCACTCGATAAGTTTTAGCGATTAGTTATTTAGTTATTGCTACACAGTTCAACATAAATTAATTAAGGTAACCCTATCCTTTTAGTTAATTGTAATATATTTGGAAGTTATAGTGCACGATTGTCTCTTTTGAATTTTTTTTTTGCCTCAGGCATGTAATGTACAGCGTCAGTTTGCCTTGCCATGTTCGCTTCAGTATTACAGTTTTCATCATCGTTTTGTGAGGACTGATACAGATTTACAATAGTAATACTTCTTTCTTACTTGTAGCCTACTTAAATTCATTTAAGATGGTTTGCTTATAAAAAGAACTAATACAAAACGTCTAATTACAATCTTATTAAAACGTTTTTCTTAACTCAGCTTCGCGTTTGTTTGTTTGGATGTTTGTTGTTAAAATTGACATCGAAAATTAGCCCACTTCTGATTGCTCTACAGACCTGAAATTTGGCATGCATGCTACTTTCGCCTAACAATTTCAGATGCAATCATAAAAACTAGCAATTAGTGACCGTAATTAGCTTAATTTAATTACGCCCCAAGGACCATAAAATTGAGGACATGATTTCTAAAGATACCGACAAGACTGCAGTCCTATTGACACAGTTACTTCGGCCCCAATCGATGTGAGCGCGCTGGCCGTGATCGTATAGTGGTTAGTACTTCGCGTTGTGGCCGCGACAACCCAGGTTCGAATCCTGGTCGCTCAAGATTTTTAGTCCGTGTATTTATAAACACTTTTTTAAAAACCACGTTTTTCATGTGTAGCAACGGACTAAAAAGGAGAAAATAAAATACTTAAAAAAAACTTTTTAAAAAACCACGTTTTTCTTGTGGACTAAAAGTAGAAAATAACTATTTACATACATTTGATGACAAAAAACGTGGGTCGGGCAGATGGGTCGGGAAATTTGATGGTGAACGTACCCACGTTTTTTGTCATCAAATGTATGTAAATAGTTATTTTCTACTTTTAGTCCACAAGAAAAACGTGGTTTTTTAAAAAGTTTTTTTTAAGTATTTTTTTTAAACCTGAAAATGCAAATGTGTAATTCAAAGGTGATTCAATGGATTTTTTTTCATAGTCGTTTTGGGTTGAGAGGTTTGAGCTTTTAAGTAGAGCTGAAATAAATGTTTAAATTATTATAAGCATTTGGTATGTTATGTCGAGTACAATGAGACACAACAGATTAAACATTCTTCCTTTTTAAACATCTGTATGTATATATGCATGTATTGCAGTCCTTCCCCACCTCTCTTTTTTTACAATTTTAATTTGTCCCGTTAAGGCAGTGGTTCCCAACCTTTTTCGAGTGGCGACCCCCTTTTATAAAAATTAAGTGACCCGCGACCCCCATAGAATTAAAAAGCCGAAAATAGTATGGAAATTAATAAGCACTAAAATAAGATTTTCTAGTAGACTTTCAATATGAACTACTCTTGATAACTGTGTTAATACCATGAGTAAAATTGCATACTATTCACTAAACATTCGCGGTTAATTTTTTTTTTTAAGTATTTTTTTGTTAACGCCAACCTATGTCATTGTCATTATCTTAATTGTGTTTTTAATTTATCTTAATCGTGTTTTAATTTAAATTCAAAATAAAATTATATTCTCGAAAAGCCAATCAATTATACGTTTGGATATAAATGGTTAATACTACACCAAAATTGTGTCTGAAGTTTTTCATCTTACGCGGAATCATTCTACAAATCAAAGATTTCATCTTGTAATTCATCGGGAATGCTGGCAACATCAAGGGAAGAAGAGAATGGATAATGCGTCAATGCAGATGCTTTTTTTTTTAGCTCAGAGAAATAGCGATACAGTTCGTTTTCAATAGATTCAAGATGCCCAGAAATTTCTTCTTTCAAAATTTTAATTATCTCACAATTAGATTCATCTACCACACTGCAGAGTTTCTCAAATTTACAATATTTCCAAGATTTATTTTCTTCGCCGATTTTGCAGCTTTGATAAAAATGCCCCGAGATTATCATGGAAAGTGAAAATATTCGTTCATTTTCCCTGAAGCTTCAGGTTAAGCTTATCTTGATGTTCGAAAACATCTGCAAGGTATGATACTATCTCCAACCACTCTATGTCGTTTTATATATACCAAAAGGTCTTGTTTCCTTTGCATTTCTGCATTTCTAAGAACAATTTGATTTCAGATTTCAATTAAAAAACACGATTTACGACAATTCTTTTGACAGCCAGCGCACTGTAGTGTAGAAGAGCAAAACCTCGTGATCTTTATTCAGATCTTTGCTCAGTTCTTTGAAGGCTCCAGATTTTATATAATTTACGACTTATACTAGCAATGGACTCTTGACGGCGATTGATGAGGGCAGTGGTTAGGGAGCTAAATCTTTTCTGCGTTCTGAAAGCCCGATTTTGACCTAAACATAGATAGTGCACCATCCGTACAAACCATCACAGCCGTTTTAACCCATTTCAATAATCCAATTTAAAAAAACGTTTTTATTTTCTCCATGCTATCTTCACAAAAGAGCAACTCTTCTTTGCTATCATCTGAATAAATATAGACAAAGACTAGCAACTGCGAACACGAACTCGCGTCTGCTGATTTATCAACTTGCAAAGCAAACAATGGTGAAAGCTTGATTTCAATCAAAATGTGTTATTTAACATCTACGGACATGTTAGAATTAACTTCACCATCTTCAACATGCAGCGTTTGATGAGATGTTCTCCTATTGTGTTTTTTTTTTTTTTTTGCTTGGCATTTTCTGTCGCGACTTCATGTGATGCTTGCACTAATGGTGTGTTTCCTTGGTAAAAACTTCCTGTTCGATCAAGTCTCTGACGTTTGCAACTAGCTTCATACCAACGAAAGAACTCCATATCTTTTTTGGTGTGTTTCGAATGACTCGTCTCAAATGACGTTTTAGTTTTGAAGATTTCATAAACTCGTGACTGAGAACAACTTTGTACAGTACGCTTTGCTTCTTCCAGTGATGTTGGTAAAGCCGAATTTCAAAAATTCTTCTAAATATTTATGTTTTGTTTCAAATTACTAAGGTTTATTATACCAGTTGGCGACCCCCAAGAAAACCCTTCGCGACCCCCTGGGGGTCACCCCCAGGTTGGGAACCCGTGCGTTAAAGGAATCTAAAATTTCATTACACATCTGCAGCGGATAACCAAATTGAAAGATGCTATTGAAATATATATAACCAATTAAAAAATAATATTAAAGTTTTTATCATCGGAACTAAGTTAAGATTAAATTAATAACTATTTGAACATTAATCAGTTACCATAACATAGATTAAAATCAAAATTAATATAAATAATGTTTTGTGTGAAAAGAGCGACAAATTGTATACTTTGTAATTTACTGTTTTTTTACAAGTTTATTTTGTAAAAATAGCAAATTGTAAGCTGATAGTCTCCACGTAATAACAAACAAAATATTAAAGGGAGGTAAAATATTGATTACGAGCCGACCCGCGGCGTATCATACGCCGCTATTTAGTTGTTTTATTTTTCTACTTTTCAGTAATTCATAATTTGTGAATTCGACAGTACCAATGCTGCCACTGAAAATATTTGCTTTAAAACACTATCAGATGGTCGTTAAGGACGATACCCCCTTCTTTTCCCCCAACCCCTACCCCCCACCCCCCACCCCCGAAAGCAAACTCCTCTTACTTACCTCCCCTAAGTTTAAAATCGTTTCAAACTACATTATCTGCACTTTTGTAAACATTTAGCGTGAACCACAGTTAGGGCTCCCGGTCAAAAACCCCCTGGACATAAACCCCCTGGACATAAACCCCCCGACATAAACCCCCTGGACAAAAACCCCCTGCGACATAAACCCCCTGGACAAAAACCCCCCGCGATATAAACCCCCTGGACAAAAACCCCCCGCGATATAAACCCCCTGGACAAAAACCCCCCAATTGAGGTTTATATAAGGAAAAACCAAAGATGACGAGAAACAAAATTAATATAAAAATACAAAACAAACATTAGGAAAAAACTTTTATTTTTATTATAACTTTAAAAAGACAGATTGTGAGCGATGCCTCGCAAATACTCAATAATGGTGGACTCATTAAAATTTTTAACAACAGTTAAAATTCGAGAGCTGCTATCAATATATTTTTTTTTCTGTTTTGGTAAACAGTGACCTGAATTAATCTGTGTACAATAAACCTCTTGGAGAGATTGTTCCTTTTTAATAAAGTCAATAAATTTCCAAATATTTGGGTGGCAACATCCCATATGCGACTGAAAACTTCTGTGCCAGCCTTCAACTGAGTTGTTTGTTTTTGGCATATGGTCTTCTGCACGTGTGTGCATGTTCCAAATGTCAAGTGGAAACATAGGTTGTCTTCGACCTCGACGTTGTGGTCTGCCAATATAGTAGTCCTCAAAGTAGTCTGCAATCGGCATTGCTTCTTGGGGGAAAATTTCCAATAATTTTTCAAAGGCATAACTCATGTGTTCGATGGGAACAAAGGCCAACGCAGGTAGCATTCTGAGCTTGAGGGCAAATTCACTATCAACTTGGTAGAGTTGTTGAAGGCCAGAGTCCTGAATTTTTCTGTATATATTTTGGCTAAGATGGAAGAAACATCCTTTTACCTCACACTCTGGAAATACCCTTTCAACACTTTTTATCACAGCCATCAAAGTCAATCATAATAGAAATTGGTTGCAGGTTTGTGTTTAAGACCGTTAGCTGCTGTAAGAGTGCTGTGTATGTTTCCTGTGTTTTGTTTTGAAGCAAGGCATAAACACATGGAACAGTGCGTCCATTGACCAATGCATGGACTGTGTACAGTTGTGAAAACAATGCAGGAGCTGTTTTGAATGTACCATCCATAAACCAGTGCTGATTAACCTCCAATAACCTAAGGTTGTCCTTGGTTCCAAACAAAAACATCCTACCTTTTGATTTGGCACCGGAATCAAACAGAAGAAATTGTTGTCCATCTTGTGTCATTGTATATTGTTCAGGAATGATTATATCATCAACATTCCTTGGATCAGACAGTGGGTGTTTTAGCGTTTGACGTTGACGCCTGATGTTACGCCGTATGTGTGGAATCGAGGGCAGCTTAGCCTTGGCATCTTCAGTAATCGTAGTAATGGACTGAGTGGTGATCTGCTGGGGTGTTGCTTCAGTTTCTTCTGCCAGTTGTTTCATCTGCTGCACTACTTTACACACTTCCAGTTGAGATGGATCTGGTCCATGCGAATGTTCATTACATCGTCCAACAAGCTGTTCACCATGAATCTTTATTTTTGCTTTGCATTCTGCCTTGTTGCGTCTTTTGGAACACTCAAATGACACAACGCCGTTCGCCAGATCTTTTTGCTTGACATAAACATAGCCTTCAAAAATCACCTTTAAATTGCCTTTATTGGATTGAACAAACTCCATTCCAGAAAATATACGATTTGTCGAGAAATAAATTTGATTTTATATTTATACCATGCTACTGTATGCCAAGGTGGATATGAACCAAGCTTCCGCCGGTGAATCCCTCACATCTTTTGAATTGTTAAGAATGTGTTGCTTTGATCCGCACGGCTCCCACATGTGGATGACCTATATCTAAGGTGTTGTCGGTGCCCGATCTTTGATCAAATACAACTAAGGTCACTCCTTGATTTCGAAAAGCATTTTTTTAGGTAGAAACTATTTTCTTAGTCGTAAAAAATTAAATTAATTTAATGTAATTTTTTTTAATTTCTTGGTTCACATCATCGTTATTTTTTCTTTATATAAACCTCAGTCCGGGGGTTATTATCCGGGGGGTTTATATCGCGGGGGGTTTTTGTCCAGGGGGTTTATGTCGCGGGGGGTTTTTGTCCAGGGGGTTTATGTCGCGGGGGGTTTTTGTCCAGGGGGTTTATGTCGGGGGGTTTATGTCCAGGGGGTTTTTGTCCAGGGGGTTTTTGACCGGACACCACAGTTAGGGCTGGGGGTGGTAGGGAAGCGCGCTTACAGCTTGGTGTTTTCTATCGTCTCCAAGAAGAGAATTATATAACATGTGTAACCGAGGGTGAGATTGATTTATGATTCGTGGTTGTTTGTGTTTGTTTCTCGTTTCCAGTCAGGACGACGACACCAAATGTGATGTGACAGACGTGTGACGTACCTTGATAGGTTGCGTTGTATCCCTTCTCGCAGCACCTAGATGCGACAGAGGTGTCTTACCACCTGTCGTGTAGGTATTTGTCCACGACTTAGGAATTCAGCTGCTAGGCTGTGGACACCTGATTCGGCATTGACACATCCGATTTGTCTAAAGAATCACACTATGACTGCAGGTTCGAGATTACAACACTTTATTTCATGATGAATAATCTCTGTTCCAAGAATAACATGGGAATCAACAGTCCACCAATTTCACTAGTCCACACAGTATCTCACGTTCTACTGACACTGTTCTCTGTGAGTGCTACACTCAAGGTACTCTATGAGCGAGCTGGTCACAATCCCCAATCAAACACGCCGTCTCTTAGTTGCACCTATGGCCACCACAGCAAAGACCATCCACATGTTTACCAACTAGTATTCTATTTACACACAAGGAAAATAAACTAGTTTAACAATGTGTAGGGCAAAAAATTAAGTTATGATAATAAAATAGGAATAAACATCAAGATCATGATAGGAGTAAAAGGGTGAATACATGTATATTTATAAAGATTGCAGTCTGTAAAGCTAGATATTACAACGGGGTTTATTTTCCTCTTTGTAAAAAGAGTTTCAGTAATGCATAATTTGTCAGTTGAATACAATTTGTTGAAATATGTTTTGTTGATATTATAAGTACAATGTCAGTAACCATCAGACCAGAAATATATTTAAAGTAGGTTGGAGCTGGGGTCGATCTTTTTCCAGGTTCTGTATCTTTTTGTTGGCAGAAAATGATTCGAAATTTTAGATGCTCGTTTGATAAGGGGCTATAACCGATTTTAAGATGTGACGGTGAACTATTTAAGCAGTTATTTCCCTTTTATCGTTCGCAATTTTTTTTCCCTACATATTGGTAGCAGTGTAAGCGATTATTTATATCATTGTGGGGATGGGGGTGTTTGACACGTGGGTGTATTATATGGTAAAAGGGAAAGTTTATACGTCCAACACGAAATGAGGAAAGGGAGAATAGGAGTTAGGAATGTACTATTAGCCATTGCAAAAGTGTTTAAATTGCCTTTTGTTTGTCATAAGAGTTTACAGTAATACATATTTAATAGTCTAATACAATTTATCAAATAAGTTTTGGTTCTATCATTAATACAGACATAAATATAATAATCATAAGTTGGCAAAATAAATACAATAATGCATAAAGAGTTTGGTTTTATAAGTTAAAGTCAGTGCAACTAGTCTTTACAACGGCCCTAGGTGCTTTGACCACATGTGGTTTGACCATAGGTGGTTTGACCATAGGGGGTTTGACCACAGATGGGCTTTGACCATAGGGGATTTGATCATTGGAATTTGACCATAGAGGGTTTGACCATAGGGGGTTTGACCACAGATGGGCTTTGACCACAACGGGGCTTTGACCACAGAGGGGGGGGGGGTGCATAATTTAAAGAATTTAAAATATAAATAATAAACTGCTATTTAAATTTTAATGTATAATACAATTAATACCAATGTTTACATGTTTCCTGAAATTCCATTAATAGAAATTAACATGTACTAAAATAGTCAAGAACGATATTTTAGTCTCCACATAAAGGCTAGCGCTAGACCTGATAGATTTATTTAAAATATAAATGGAACACAAATAATGCGACATATAACAAGTTTAACAAATAAATAATGTAGATGTACTTGGAAATACAAATCATATATAAAGGATAAAAAAGGATAAAAAACATGCCAACAGAATAGTCAAAGAAGTAATACTTGTATGGTTAACTAAATGACAGATGAATTAATATACTATTACATCCTGCCGCAATTTAAAATATAATTACACGACTTTAAAAATTAATCCTTACCATATAAGGACAAAGCGTTTGTTATCAAACGCTAGCATTGGACAAACCACCTGTGATCAAAGACCCTATATGGACAAAACACCTGTGATCAAAGCCGCACACACCGCTTGCGATAAAACACCTGTTGACAAACCACCTGTGGTCAAAGGCTCTCTGCTGAGAAAACACATGTGGCCAAACACCCTATGGTCAAACCCCCTATGGTCAAAGCCCCTATGGTCAAAGCCTCTCTGTGGTCAAACCGCATATGGTCAAAGCTTCTGTGGTCAAAGATCCGCGCACCCTTTACTACAGGGTGTTTATTTCCTTCTCTTTGGCATAGACTAGAGTTGCCGTATGTATATATATATATATATATATATATATATATATATATATATATATATATATATATATATACTTTGATGTTATATCACGATATGTTAAGCTATATTTTGTAATTACATTTATACATTTATGCCATTCAAATTTGAAGGTTAAGCCCTATACAAAACGGATGTGTCATTTTAAAATACATTTTAATTAACTACTGCTTACAAACGTTTTTTTTAAAGTGTGGTATCCTTTCCAACGAAGCTTTAGAGAAAAATGGGGTGATACAAGCGAGTTACTTCTCGGAGGCGGTGACAAAACGAAATTACCTCCCATGTAGATTTTTTTTTTTATTTGCAGGGGAAATAACGTATTTATAATTTCTTTACTAAATTCTAGATTGTAACTGATAACAGAAAAATCTCGAGTTCGGATTCCGTGTATGACTCGGTAGGTCGGAGTCTACTCAGCTCTGTCTGTTGGGTACCTGAATTATGCTAGACAACTTACTTACAAACCCTCTTCGCAACATTTGTTCAGTTAAAAATAAAAATATTTTTTTTTTAATTTCAAGACGCCTTTGCATTCAATCTAAACAAACTTTGTTGATTTGAGATCGATAATATTTAAAGCAATGTTTCATTTGTTTGAAAATTTTGATCGCTAGAAAAAGTGTTACTCCGCCTCATGTAAATATGAAGAAAAACAATTAAGGGAGAAAACTTATGTCAGTTGTTTACCATAACTACTAAATAAGTAATTAATTAAATACTCTATACAAATATCTTTCTTAAAAAATAATATTTTGACGTTTAAAATGTTGTTATTGATTTATGTTTAATCTTTAAACTTTTGCATACCTATTAAAAAATAAAGGTTACATTATATTGTAAGAAGCACTAACTTTATTTTAAAAAGTTACACTATAACCATACAATTGCTCGTCACTTAATCATGTGTACACTGCAAATCAAGATTATTTCTGGCTCTCTTTTGAAAGGGAAAATTAAAAATATAAATTCCGTTTATTTATAGTTTTTTTATGCTTCTTATGTAATTAACCTGACTCTACCTGCTCTAAGACCTCAATGTAGTTGCTATCTTAAACTCTAATTGAATTGTCACTATCACAGATGAACACATTTCTACAGGCAACATGACCATGTTTGCTTATATAACATAGGGAGCAAACTGTCCACCTTCCATTGATCTGGGTAAGGAGGGTGTGTGTATCACCCTCTATGTCAACCATTGAGGAGGGTGTGTGTATCACCCTCTATGTCAACCATTGAGTTGGGTGAGGAGGGTGTGTGTATCACCCTCTATGTCAACCATTGAGGAGGGTGTGTGTATCACCCTCTATGTCAACCATTGAGCTGGGTGAGGAGGGTGTGTGTATCACCCTCTATGTCAACCATTGAACTGGATGAGGAGAGTGTGTGTATCACCCTCTATGTCAACCATTGAGGAGGGTGTGTGTATCACCTTCTATGTCAACCATTGAGCTGGGTGAGGAGGGTGTGTGTATCACCCTCTATGTCAACCATTGAGGAGGGTGTGTGTATCACCCTCTATGTCAACCATTGAGGAGGGTGTGTGTAGCACCCTCTATGTCAACCATTGCGTGCGGCGTAAAACGGCCAATGATAAAACGTCCCCGTCAAAACGGACCCGACAAATCGGCCTCGACCCCGTAAAAATGGCCAGCGACATATGGACCCTGTCATAAAGGATCCCAATAAACAGGCTCCGGTCATTTAGGCTCACGACAAATAGGCTCCCGTTATATAGGCTCCCGACAAAAGGGCTCCAGTCAATAAGACTCCTAACAAATAGGCTCCCGTCATTTTGGCTCCCGACATGCAG